ATATCAATGAAAAGAGAGGGGGAAACCGAAGTGAGAAGAAGAATAAAAGTTGGATGGAAATCGGTTTACAAATATAAAGAATTTTTTACTGATAGAAGGGTCGGAATGGCTTTGAAACGATGTCTGTATAATGAAAGTGTTCTTCCGGCTGTGTTATACGGGACAGAGACACGGACGTTGACAAAAAGAATGCAGAATATGATGGGAGTAGCCCAAAAAAGGATGGGGAGGTTGATGGTAGGGGTGAAATTACGGGATAGGAAATCGAATAAATGGTTGAGAGGGATAACGAAAGTTAAAGACTCTGTGAAATGTGCAAGGGAAAGGAAAATTAAGTGGGCAAGAAAAATTGCAACAATGGACAATAAGAACTAGGCGAAGAGGGGAAGAGTGCACAGAGCGGTAACCTAGAATCGGGAAAAGAAGTCGGGTTCGACCGAAAATGAGATGACGAAACAATATTTGCAAAGTAGTCGGCCAAGCATGGATGAGAAGAGCAGTGAACTATGATAATACTGATAACTGAAGTGATCTTGAAGAGGCTTATATACGAAACGTACTATAACAGCCCACTAAATAAATTTCATTTTGTTGAAGTTGAAGTTGTCAAACATATTTTATTGTCGAACATACCAGATTTTGAGCATCTGTCAAACGTAACGTTCGCAGTTTTGACCTTGGAACGGTTGAACTGATTATAAACTCTTACGCATCCAACACACATGAACATCCCAAGCAGAAAACAGTGAGAAAATCATGAAAAAACAAATGTGTGCATAAAATTTGAGATTTTCTCACAAGGATATTCGATGGGTCTGACTATCAATCACAATTCATTGCGCAAGTATGAATTCTAGGCTTTCTGGGCTCATTTCTGGGCTCATCGGAAAACGTGCGAAATCAGCTCACATCAGTATTCCATAAGCCAACAGTTGTTTGTAAATTGCATCAAAAATGCATGTAGATTTGTTCGGATTTCAGAGGAAAGCGATGTAAACGAACGCTACCATGCTGAGATTAGTTGGCACTGAGAATGATTCAGTTGCGTTTCATAATCAGCCGATACTCTTGTTTGATCTCTTTTATTCGTTAGATCGTTTGGACTATCAACTGATTCAATGTTATCACGCGCTCGACTGATTATCGACAAACATCACTCAGTCACTGAGCAATATCTTTGTTGGAAGCACATTTACAGGTATCGCAGGAAAACAGCCTAGGGCCGTAAGATAGGATTCGTATCAGGTTCCGCGAGTTGGCCGAAAATGGAAAATGCGATCTGTTCCGATTCAGAACAACTATTAAGGAACAACAGATTCCGATTCACTTATTGCCTTGTTCTGGACGAATAAAACACCGGTTGATATCCTTACCAAATCTCGAATACAAGATTCAAGTATCGCTCTTAATTAAGAAAACCAAGGTTGATCATAAATGATAATTCAAATGAATGATCAACGTTATCACCTACAAATTATGTCAACCGTTAAAAAAAGAGCATTTTGATAAACAACAGCAACGACCTAATTGAATCACTAAACGAGTGTACGTAAACAAGCGAATATCGCATTAATGCCTACATCATAAAACAAAACAATAAACCGCATTCGTTTCCAATACACGTTTCGGTCATTCCTTATTCCCGAACAAAGCGTGACCTCAGCTGAACTATATATATAAAAGAATGTTAACGTGAACAGTTATCTTGTGCAGTTGTAACGATGGATTACGATAGTCGTATCAAGGCATACCGCCTGGTCGGTTATGCGTCTGTGGCGTTCTCGATGGTGGCCGTTCTATCGGTCTCGTTCACTTTACCAATGGTTTACAATTACGTACACAATGTGCGCAATCAGATGACCGGTGGTGTTATGCGCTGCCAAGTAAGTGCTTCTTAAAGATGAATGATATGCCTGTTGTTATTAGAGGTATAGGAAGGATAAGTGATCATTAAGATATTGAGTGACTCGATTTATTGCAACAACCAATTATGAAAGCGACTGAAGCGCAAAAGCATGCAACCTATTGCTTCGTAATCAAAGTGTTGCATAGCCGAATAGTCTTTAATTTATAATTTTAAGGGAAACGCGAAAGACATCTGGAATGAGGTGGTTCATTTGAAGAACATTCCTGCGGCCAGAAACCGTACCGCTCGTCAAGCTGAGTCCGGTTGCGAAGCTTGTTGTGTTCGTGGAGCACCTGGACCGATCGGTCGTCCAGGTCTCCCAGGTAAAGTGGGAAGAGTTGGAGCTCCAGGAGCACCTGGAAATCCCGGAAGACCACCAGTGCAGCCTTGCCTTCCACCAGTTCCACCACCATGCAGAAAATGCCCACAAGGACCACCTGGCCCTGCCGGACCACAAGGACCAATGGGTAAACCCGGAAGCCCTGGTCAACCTGGAGGCGTAGGACCAGCAGGAAGTGCAGGACCTGATGGACCAAAAGGCTCAAGCGGGTCAGCTGGACGCCCTGGACCTGACGGTCCTGCAGGAAGTGCTGGACCAAGCGCTTTGGCTCCACCGGCAATGCCTGGACCAGCTGGAGCAGCTGGTGAGTCGTTCAAACACTATACTTTGATTACAATCAGTTCTATCCATACATCTTTCGCATTTCTGACCATACTCAATGAACAAGTTTTAAAAAATACTTATCGCGCTAATATTGAATGCTGACGACCGAATTTTTTTTTTGAGCAATTCAGCTTGAGGATTTTACTGTTGCATCCAATTGTTCATTGTATAAAACGCAAAAGCGCAAATGCACTGCAAGTATACCGATTAACGAAGCATAACTACAGGAGATCGTGGTCGACCAGGACAATCAGGACCACCAGGACGACGAGGAATTGATGGAAATCCAGGACAGCAAGGACCCAAGGGAAATAAAGGATTTGACGGAAAACCCGGAGTCGATGGACAGCCTGGAGTGCCAGGTATTGATGGTCAAGCGGGCGGTATTGGCGAGAGAGGTATATGCCCCAAATATTGCTCAGTTGATGGAGGTGTTTTCTTCGAAGATGGAACTCGCATCTAATTCTTTGAACCTAGCTCATTATTTATTTATTTTAAAGAGGAGTGTTGATAAAATGAAAGCGATCAATACTCAAATATTGTAGATGTTGCGTACTACCAACAATAAACGCTTCTACTGAGTCATATGTTTCTTGTGCATAACCAATTTCACATGTTTCGACTCGC